TCTCCACCCTATTTTCGGGAAAGTCAGCTTGGAGGGGAGACCTGTGGTCAGTGTGGTGGAAGGGGGTAGGATTGGCTGTGTGAGCCTCCTGGTTCCTTACGTGGTCTCCACCTCCCCCCAGGAGAGTCTGTCGACATTGTGGCTTTATCCTTCCTGCCCAGTGTGGTTGCCCCGTGATAGCTTTGCAAGGAAGAGGCTGGAATGTGGCTGACTTGGCATTTCCTAGCACCTCCTCCCCGCACTATGGGGCCTCTGCCACACAGCTGGTGGGGCCCGGACCTGACTCCAGATGGGGCTCAGTTGGTCTGCTTGACTTGGCTAGTGCATCCAGGTCGGCCTGCCTCCCTTTCTCTAAAACTGCTTGGGACAGCAGAACTGGGCCCAAGATCCTGGCCAGAGCAGGTTTACTTGTGGTAAATGGGGCTGGCTCTCCAGCTCTGCATCGCAGCCAAGGCTTGGTGGGGTTGAGTCTGCAGAAGCAAAGCTGAAGGTGGTGGAGGAGAAGGGTAGCACCTGCCACCTCTGAATCTGGGAGAAGACTCAGGTGGGGCAACTTTAGAGAGGGACCTGGCTCTTAGGGATTTCCTCATCCCTGGAGGCAGGCGGCACTGGGGCAGCCTCCAAAAAATACCAGAATTTTACTGAACCACAACCTTCCAAAATCTAGAATTTGGTATCATTTGGGTGTGTCTTTTGTAGTCCTGGGTAGTGCAAGCAGTTAAACATTTGACTACTAACCAAAAGGGTAGTGGTTCAAACTCACTCAGAGGAACTTTGGAGACAGGCCTGATGAGGTCCTTCCAAGAGGTGACAGCCTTGAAAACCCTGTGCAGCAGGTCTTCTCTGCACACATGGGGTTGTCATGAGTCAGAACTGACTCGACAGCAGCTGGTTTGGTTGGGGTTTAGTTTCCATGCCCTATGTAAGAAAACTTGGATATTCTATATGCCCAATGAGCCCTTTCAGTAGAAGTGGAGCTTCACCTGTAGGGAAGCCTATAGCATAGACCAGCAAATGCTGTTATAGTGATCTTAAGGAACCATGGCACCTTCTAACTTAGAGTCCTCAGCCTTTGCCTAATGAGCAGCTTTGCATTCAGAAGTTCTGCTCTCTGATTGGAGTATATGTGTACACTTGATAGAGAGAGGTGGGGGTCTGATATCAGTGTAAGCCTTGAGTTGGGAGTGCAAGTTGCAGATGTTTTCCAAGGAGGCTACTTCCAAGAAGCTGCAAGAGCAGGAGGGATCAATGAGGTACAGCTTGGAGGGCAAATAAGTGGTAGGGAGTCCAGCTATGGTGAAAAGCACTCCAACAAAGATTGCTTGAGAGATTTCTGGAAGACTCTGGGGAGGCCTTCCTGCTCTGCCCCTTTCCAGCACCCCATAGGAAAATCTCAGCTTCTCCTTCCTTAATAGAGGTTCCCTTGTGTTTTTTGCACATGCCCACTGCTGGTCTGGTCTGCGAGTGCTGTACCAAGACTCCTGATAGATCTCAGTCTTGACCAGGTCTTGTGTAAAGCATGGTAGATACCCTGCTGCCAAGCCCCGCTCTGGCACCTGGGGCTGCTGCCAAGCCAGAAACCTGATTTACAGAGTTTTCAGTCAGCTCTCTTTAGGAGCTTTCTCTTTTCTTGTTTATGTTTTGTTGGAATCACAGAAATGAACCTCAAACCCCTCCCAGCTGCTGTCTTATCTTGTCTCATCTTCTTCAAGAAGCTTCATGCTTACATGTTCTTCTGGGACCATCACTGAAGTCTTTCTCCCTCTAGATCAAAGATTCTTTACCTGAGTCCAGGACCTTGGATGGGATTTAGGAAGCCCATTAATCCTCTAAAATCTGCAGCCTTCCATGTATATGTATGTTTTTCTAGAGAGAGGGGTTATAGCTTTGTTTAGGTTTTCAGAAGGGTTTTTGATCCCCTAAAACTAAAATAAAAATCTTGTTTTAAATTCACTCGGAGCTTGGGCTGGCATAGGTGCTGGGTTCCAAAGCAGAAGCCTAGTTCAGATCAGCTTCACCTGTCGAGCTGGGGCTCTGTTACTTGGAGGGGCTTTCTTGAGGCCCCAGCAGTCCAGAGGTAGAGAGTACTACACTGGCTGGAAGAGGGAGTGGGAAGGACTGCCCCAGGGTGGACTGTCACTTCCAGAGGTGTCCTAGGGAGCCCAGAGGCACTGCTTGAAGAGGACCCAGAATGTTCTCTGAGCATCTCAACCCAGGCCACTCACTGCAGGGGCCAGGTCAGGAGGTGGGGGCGTGTGGACCAGAAGTTAGAAGTTATAAGCTCTTTGCTGGGGTTCTGATGAGAGCTAGGAGGAGAGCAACAGAGTCCTCCTACAAGAGACACAGGGCAGGAAGAGAGACTTGGAATAAAGGGAGGGAAAAGGGAGCAGGAGCCAAAGATGATCAATCTCTGGCATGAAGGAAACTCTTAGAGGTTGTAAAGTGGGGAGAAGAACTGCTTCCTGCTGGGAAATAGCCCAAAGGACGGTGGGGAGAGCTCTAGCCATGGAGCTGCTGAAAGCTGGACAGGCGGGAGTGGGAGCACATGTTGGAGGGAGCATACCTCCCCTGGCAGGGTGTCTGGGCAGGATGACCTCATCCCTTCCATCTGACTGAGGCTTTATTATTCCAGGCTCTAGGTAGACATTACGCTATGCTGAGGCTAGAGGTGAAAGGAAGAGGTGCTCGCTTGTGCTTTGGGGCTTTCGTGGCCCCCCGGTGGGAGGGGTAGAGAGGGCAAGTGTTGACCACCTCCCCAGTTGCCTGTCTTAGAAATGCTTCAGTGGGTGTAATGGGAGATGCCTTCCTCGGGATTCCTACCTCTCCTCCATCGCAACCCCCTCACGTGGAGCGGAAGGCAGAGGCAGGCAGGGCACTCCAAGAGGGCACTCTTCAACTGTGCAGCCAAAGTCCTGATGGAGAAGCTTTCTGCCTGCCCTCCTGGCGTGCACTGCTGCAGGGCAGCCTGTAGGAGCGGGTGTTACAGGTAAAAGAAACCACTAAAACTAGTTGCCATCGAGTTGGCTAAGGCTCACAGTGACCCCATGAGTAGGGTAGCGCTCCCTGGCATTTTCAGCAGCTGATTTCTCAGAAGTAGATCACCAGGCTTGTCTTCCGTGGCACCTCTGGGTGGACTCAAGCAAACCCCCAAACACTTGATTAGCAGCCAGGGCTGTTAACCATTTGCATGACCCAGGGAGTACAGAGAGACATTGCAAACACCAAATTCCATGTACTGAGAGAAAAATCTGAGCTCCACATTGAAGAGTGTCATGCCTATTTTGGAGCGCTCCAAGCCCTGTTTCCATGACAGACAAAAGAGATTCCCAAAGAGCCAGAGGCAGATGGCAGACTCCACAGTGCCTCTCTCACACCTTCCTCCAGGTGCTCCCTGGGTTAAGCCTGTCAGAATGGGGTGGGGCTGGCAGATCCACTAATTGCACCTCCTTGGAATCAGTTCAGGGTGCCAATGGGGACATGTGCAAGGCAGAAATCGAGGCAGTTGGGATTCCTGGGCTTTTTTGTAATGAAACTTCTTTTCCCCTAAACTTTGAGGCCGCTTGTGGGTGGAAAGGAGAGGAGGTTTCTTGGTTCCTTCATAGGGAAGGTTTCAGAGGTGGTAGCCTCCCTGCTGGGAAACTCAGCAAATACCATAGAAGACAAGATGCCACTGGCAAGTGCCTTGAATCTTTTTCTTAACAGATGTGAACCCTTGAGCCCTGGTCTGGGACCCTTGTGTGGCAGTGAGCCCCCTTTTCCCAAGTCCCTGCTTCTTTCTGTGGTGATACACATGAACTCTATACCCAGTGTCCTACAGACCAAGCATTTGAATGTATGGATCTCCCAACCTATTCCTTTCCCAAGGGAAACTTGCACAGGAACTTTAGTACAAGTGCCTCAACCACTGACTCAGTGCCAACCCCTAGAGGCCTGGGGTTCATGGGACTCTGTCCTTTGGGTCAGAGACCCTAGTTACCACTCTGGAATAGATCCATCATTGGCTTTTAAGTTTGTAAATATTAGTTATCTATCACCTTGAATCCTTTGGGGACAAGGTAGAGCATAAATAAGCAAATAAAATGGGTGGTGAGGCCATCGTGTACAGTTATACATGTGGACATTGATCTTGGAATCTTCCGGTCACCACCTACACATGACTGTGTTAAACATGGTCACTGCTGTGCAGCTCCACACTGGGTAGCTTTCTGGTTACCTGAGTCCAGTATTTCTCAGCCCTACTTACTTCAAAACTCTGGGTGTGGAGACTCACCCCTTATAGGTCTACAGCTTGATAGTTTTTGAACCTCTGTTTATATCCATTTCATCTGCCTCCTTCTCTCAATTGCTACTGCACTTGGTACCCAACAGTGATAGACCATGGACACTTCACCATCTATATTTAATTGTCACTGCTTGCTTTCAGTGTTTTGGCTCTGTCTCATGGAGGCAGAGAAATCTTGAGGCCAGAGGCTACTCCTCCTGCTTTGGAAGCTGGCCTGGTGCTGGGTATGGTGGGTATGGAAAAGGGCTTCTCCATGTGTTCCTATCATACCATGTATGGAAAATACCTTTCCCATACTTGTGAGCATTTATGAGGACACATGTTCGTATGTGAAGGGCAGCTTACTTAGCAGTGGACACTAGACCAGGAGAAGGACAATTTGGATTCCAACTGTGGTTTCTCAGGTAAATTAAATCCAGTCAATATGTCTAGAGTACCTATCTTGTACAAGAACATTCCTGGCTATGGTTGAGGGTAAGGTAGTTTCATGTAATATAGAATCACTTACTTTGGGACCCTCAAGAAATGGATCATCCAGTCTTGGAACTTGAGTTGGAGAGGGTGGCTTGATTCTGTCACATGCTGAGCAGGTCTGGGAGGTGTTTGGTAAGCATACCCTGGCATCTATCTATGTTAGGGGAAAATCATGGTAGGGCTGATGCTTCCTGCAAGATCCTGAGCAGTGTTCTCTGGGATGGGGTATCTATCTGTGGCCCAGGTTCACTGAGCCAGACCCCAGCCACACCCTGGAAGAGCGCGTGGTGCACTGGTACTTCAGCCAGCTGGACAGCAACAGCAGCAATGACATTAACAAGCGGGAGATGAAGCCCTTCAAGCGCTATGTGAAGAAGAAAGCCAAGCCCAAGAAATGTGCCCGGCGTTTCACTGACTACTGTGACCTAAACAAGGACAAGGTCATCTCTCTGCCTGAGCTGAAGGGCTGCCTGGGTGTTAGCAAGGAAGGTAAGTGCTCTCTCCTTTGCTCCTGATCCCAGCCAGGCTCAGGGACCAAGGCCTCCCCGAATAAATGAGGTCACAGGTACTCATTTCTTCAGCTGTTTCCTGAGAGTGTGTTACATTTTATGCTAGATGCCTGATGGAGTGGCAAAATTGACCGATAAGGTCCCTATCCTTACATAGTCTACTGAAGAGTCAGATATTAAGCAAGTAATTACATTAATTGTGATAAATGCTATGGGAATGTATTAGTTAGGATAGGCTGGGCTGCTGTAACAAACAGACCAACACATGTAATGGCTCAACACAGTGCAAATTTTTTGTCTTGTCCATATTATAGTTAAACATTTCAGGCTATGATACTGTGGGGGGTAGTGCATGGGGCAGTGACAGTGTAGATTGCTCCATGCAGTCAACCAGGGTTCCAGGCTGATAGTGGCTCTGCTATCTTCATCACGTGGTTTCCAAGCCACCTTGGGGATCATCTTCATTACCAGTCAAAGAGTAAAGCATGAGGAAGTGCATATCGGGGAGTTTCAACCCTGGACGTGACACACATTACCTCTCATATTTCCCTTCCTGGACCTTGGTCATTAGACTACAGCCAACAGTAAGGAAGTTTGAGAGCCCAGAAAGAAGAGAAGAACATGGATTTTTATGAATACCTAATAATCTCTGCCATAGTAGAGCAAGTGTGGAGTGTTGTAAGAACACACATACAAAAAACAAAAAACCACTCCCACTGCTGTGGAGTTGGATCTGACTCATAGCGACCCCTCCTTGGGTTTCCAAGGTGGTATCATTATGGAAGTAGATTGCCCAACCTTCCTTCCAAGGAGTGGCTGGTGAGTTTGAACCACCAGCCTTCTGGTTAGCAATCAAGTGCCTTAGGCACTACGCCACCAGAGCTCCCAACACACATAGGAACACACGTAGAAGCCCTTAATCAGCTAAGGAAGTAGGTGATATTGGGAAGCTTTGTGAAGAAAGTGATGTCTAAACCAGAGGCCAACAAGCCATAGCCTGTGGGCCCAAACCAGTCCAGGCCTGTTTAGAATGGCCCATGAACTCAGCATGGTTTTTGCATTTCTAAGGGGTTGTAATTAAAAGAAGAATATACAACACATATTGTATATGACCTACAAAGCCAAAAATATTTACTATCCAGTCCTTTATAGAAAAAGTTTACCGACACCTGGTCTAAACTAATATCCAAGGATTGAGTGAGAGTTGGCCAAGCAGAGAGGTTAGAGGAGGGACGGGAGCTCCAAGTTGAGGTGTGAAGATCTAGAGGTGAGAAAGAAGATTTTTAGAAGAACTTGAAAGATGTTAATATGATTGAAACTGTATATTTGAAAGTGGCAAGAGAGGGGAGGATACAGGAGAAAAGGTAAGTTTGGAAAACCTTTTAGTCCTTGTGAAAAAGTTTAGACTTTATAACAGCAGTGGAAAGTGTTGGAGGGATTCAACCAGAGAAATGCTAGGATTGATTTTGCTTAAATTGTTCTGGCTACATTGTGAAAATGGATTGGAGATTATCAAAGTAGGGTCATTTAAAAGGAGTTTGTGGTATTGTCTGGGTAAGAGGTGATAGTGGCCTAAGTTGTGAAAAAAGAGTGAGGGATGAAGAGAAGTGCGTCAATTCAAGAGACACATAGACAACTGCAGGACTTGGTGAGTGAGTGGACATAGGGACTGAGGATTGGTTTGGGCAGCTGAAGGGTGGGTCCATTCACTGAGCTGGGCAACAAGGAAGAGAGAGCAGAGTAGGTGTAGAAGGATGAGGACATATAAAGAGTACAGTTTAGATGTGGTGAGTTGGATGCACCCAAAGGATGAGTGGGTGGTAGTGCAGGTGAAGGATCTAGGCTGAAGATGCAGGTTTGAGTGACACTGGCTTATTTAAAATGGAAGCTTTAGAAGAGCTGAAATTGCCTAGGGAGAGATTTTAGTATGAGAAGAAAACAAAGACTTTTACATTGTTCTAACCCTGGGTTATCAGTGTAAATCCAAAGAGTAGCATGAAAAGTCAATGGGTGATCACAGGTACCCAGCCTTAGGACCTGTCCTCCTCCCTAGCTCAGTTCTGGCCCTGGTTGGATGCTAACTGGCATGTGACCCAGGGTGAGTTACTTCATCACACTGGGCTCCCTGTTAGATGAACATGCCTGCCCCTGCTTTTTAGTTTCTCAACATATGGAGAAAGATTTTAATCTACTTCAAAATGATTTATTTAATCGATAGGCTTAGGGGCACTGCCAACTTCAGGCAAATGAGAGATTTGTAAATCCCATAGTATTGAATCTCCAGTTGAAGTCCTTGCTCTGCCACTGACTAGCTCTTTCACCACATACAGATTACTCAACCATTCTGTGTTTCAGTTTCTTCATCTGTAAAATGGGAGCAACAATAGTACCCACCTCATAGGGAGATTGTGTGGATCAGGTGGAGTAATAAATGTTATACATTTATTATAGTGCCTGTGACATTGAAGGACTTCAATAGAAGTTCAGGGTTACCATTCTTCTTCATATGATTATTATCTCTGGAAATAGTACTTATCAACTGCATTGCAGTTAACTTTTCTGATTCCTTCTTGAAACCATAAATTATGTCTTATCTTTTCAATTCCTGATGTCTAGCACAGCACATGCCACCTAGTAGCAGCTCATTCAATCCTTGTCAAATGAATGAATGAATGAATGAATCAGGAGGTTGTCCCTGGTGGCAACATCATGCTTTGACACACTTGGATTCTGTGTTCATTTAGCAGAGCACAGGCAGAGGGCCAATGCTAGGAGAGACCATTCGATTTCAGTGAAGACCCCAGCCCTATCCACAACACTTCTGTGCTGAGTGGTGCCCCTTCCTGTGGTGGTAGTTCTGGTCCACACAGCACATAGAGGCCAAGGGAAGGCTCAGGTCCACAGAGCCCAGGGAGGCCTCCTAGCCTTCTTCTGAAGCCTTGCCAGGCATAAGGTCTGAAGGAGGCATCAGGGAAAACTATGTGTCAGAATATGGTATTTGGGGAGCAGTGCTCACACAGATGTTCCTCGGCTCAGCTGAGTCACTGCGACAACTTTGCCCTGAGAGGCCCCTTGGTGATTCAGAGTTCATTTGTCATCTTTCTTGGCTCAACACCTTCAGCCTACCCCTGTGACCTCCTCTACCCCAAAGATGGGACTAGGGGAACTATAGGGCTTTGGGAATCAGTGTTAACCCTTGAATGAAAAGTGTGGCTAAGGTTATGGTTGAAAAATATGGCAGGGTGCATGTGTTGGTGTATTTGTATATGTGTGTCTGTGTGTGCTTGTGAGCATGTCTGTGATTGCATGTGTCTGCACATGTCTGAGTGTGCAGTTGTCTGTAAGCATGTGTGCATGATCTGTGCACATGTGTGCATATGTCTGTGTGTGTGATGGAGTGAGGGAGAGCAGAACATTGGGGTAAGGGAAAGAAAGGTGTGTAGGATCAACTAGCAGGAGGTGAGAGGAGGCTGCACAGATTTAAGGTCTGTGGAGGAAGTTGAACAGAGTAGACTCTTTTCACTGCATGTTTCTACACACACAGCACTGGTGTAGGCCCCTAGAGTCTTAGAGCCGGAAGGCTCCTTAGATGCTCTAGTCCATTTTACAACTGCAGAGGCTAGGCTAGGCTACCAGAAGGACAGCAAGATTACATGTGCGGTAGCATCGTTGCTGGTACTTGGAGCTAGCCTCAGGGTGCCCAGCCAGACCTCTGTCCCCTCCATGAGAAAATCTCCAGAGTGTTTGAAGATGGTCTCTTGTGTGAGAAGGTCAGTCTTCCTTGCTTGAGGAAGGGCAAGGGAGACCAAGACTAGTGGTGAGTCCCGAGAAGCTGACCTAGCCTTGGGAAGGTGTGCAGGAGTGGAGGCTGCTGGGGGGAAAGAGTCACTGGCAACCGGAGGGAGGAAGGCTAAGGTTTCCAGGCAGATGGTGCCTGCAGGAAAATGGATGAGTGTTGTGGAGCAGAGCAGAGGTGAGGGTGGGGAATCTATGATCTGTCTTCCTTTAGGTGTGGAGGGAGCTGTAGGTAAGAGCAGAGGCCCTAAAGTCAGATGGACTTGGCTTTTAATCCCACTTACTAGCCACCTACTAGCTCTATAATCTGGCAAGCTCCCTGTTCTCTGACCCTCTGTTTCCTCATCTATGGAATGGAGATGACAGTATCTACCTCTTAGATCTGTTGTGAAGATTTAACAAGGTAATGGATGTGAGGAGCCTAGTATAGTACCCAGCACATATGAAATGAACAAAAGAACATTTTACTAATGGAGAATCATAGCCATGGGCTGAAGACATGACTACCAGCTTCCCTGGGCCCTTGCTGTGGGGAGCGCCAAAACAGCCACCCACCTGAGCAGATAGTAGGTAGCTGTCCAGGGATGGAGCCATGTGTTGGTCATCTGGTATCACGTGGTGCCCTCTGGTGGGCCAAGAGGGGCTTGCATGCTGAGTGGGGTTTGGAAGGGGTTGTGGAGCTTGGGGATGAGTGTAGCTTTGGGTTTGAGAATTTTGGAAAACGCAGCATGAGCAAAGGTGCTTTTACCACTGAACTGCTCGCTGGAGAGCTGAGTTCTCTGCTTGGCATGAAACAGGCACTCTGTGGGCCAGGGCTTCTCCTGAAGGAAAGAAGAGTCTCTTTCTTGACTGGTTCCAAGGTAGAGACTAGTTCCTCGACGTTTGAGAAATGCTTACTCTTCCTTTAAATTGTGTGAGGTTGCCTGCCCCCCAGGGGTGGCTCTTTCACCCTGCACTCCCAGCTGGTAAAGAGCAGGGGTTCCAGAGGCAGATAGCCCAGCTGTGCCCCTGCTTCAATGCATCATGGCTGTCCCACTGGGCGAGTTACTTAACATCTCCAAACCTCTGTGTTATCATCATAAAATGGGGATAGTTGTATAACTGCCCTATAAAGTTGCTGTAAGGATGAAATGATGTGATATAGGTATGGGGACTAGCACAGTGACCCTCTTAAAATGAATGCTGCTTACTACTGGCTGGGCATTTCGTTTCAAAGTCTCAATGTGGTGGTGGGGGCTGCTGTAGGCCTTCTCTTCACAGATGTAGAACTTTCTGCCCACTGCTGAGAGAAGCAGCTGCCACGAGAGCAAAGAAAGATGGGACTTGGAGTCAAGCCACCAGGCATCCTGGTCCAGCCACTGCCCAGCTGCCTGGCCTTGGGCCGACCACTCTTCTCTTTCCAAGTTTGTTTCCTCATCTGTAGAATTGGACATAGGAATATCTAAGAGCCTGACCCACAACTGATCATGACAATGACACAGGACCGGGCAGGTTCCGTTCCACTGTGCCTTGAGTTGGGGGCTGACTCAGTAGTAGCTAGTAACAACAACATCCCCACCACCACCAGCAGCTGTGCTCTGCCTCTCTCTTTCTCAGCTCTAAAGGAATACTGACATGACTAGAGGGGATTTGGAGTTTGATGATCCCTGGATGGGCTTGGGTTCTCTCAGAGCCTTTTCTCTACCTCCTGTGAGGGAGCAGTCATGGTCTTAATTCACCTCTATACCTGGACCAGAGAGGTCAAGTGGCATGCACAAAGTCACACAGACTTCCAGGGCCCCACAGAGTTGGTCTAGTCCTTGCCTCCCCAGCACCCTGGTCCTCCTACAGGACACCTGGGCCCTGTAGGAGCTGTCACAGCCAGTCTGCAGAACAGCTCAACACTCTCTGGGGAAGGGCAAGTGTTAGCAGCAGGCCTTGGACCTTGTGTAGGTCACTTGGTTGCTCTGGGCCTGAACAAGATGATTGCCAAGATTCCTTCCAGCTTACAACTTGGGGAACTAGGACTCAAGAATGTTATGCAAATGTACATCAGAACCAAAGCCCTTCTTAACTAATAGCTGAGGATCCCAAAGGGAGTCCCAGCAGGAATCTGGCTTTGTGGAAAAGGGACTTTGTTTAAAGGTATTGGCTAGCAGTGGGCTCTCCCAGGTAGATCAAGGCCATGAACATCCACAGAATAGGTAGCTTGACCATAAACTTCTGACTCCCAAGTCCAGTTTTCATTCTGGGGGTCAGAGAGGGAGGAATCCAGGTAAAGAACAGGCTCTATCAGTTCAATGGTCAAGACCACCCAAGTCACATCTGTTCCTCTTTGTTGCAGGTGGTAGCCTTGGCAGCCTCCCTCAGGGAAAACGAGCAGGCACAAACACATTCAGTAAGTTTCCTTCTTTCTTTCTCAGGCTTCCTCCTTCCTCTGCAAACCCAAATGCAGCTTTGTTAGTGCAGGAGCAGGAGTGTTGGGTTGGAAGGGTTGGCCAAATTACTTAAACCCATTTCCATTGTTTGCTAAGGATACAAGAGAAAGATTGGGTTAATGTTAAGTGGATCCTGCCCTTCCAACTTATAAGCAAGCCCCTCCCACTTCTGCCACTGGTTGAAAGGCTGGCATATCCATGTAGTGTGATGTATACAAAAGGCACAGCCCTCAACCTGTCCTTACTGGGCAAAGTTTAGTTCTCCAGAGTCAGACTTACTGCACTGGCCATTGTGATGCCTCACAGTGGCAAAGGACAGTCTAGTAAAGCATGATGGGGTCATTTGCAAGTCTAGGTTACCTGTTCCACACCCCAGCTTTATCTAACAGCAGGTGGGAAAGTCTGCTCTTGGGGGGAAATTGATGTATGTAGCTTGATTTCTCATAAACCCAGTTCTAACTTCTTCTTACTTACACCTCCCCTTCTTTCTGCACCCTCCCTCCCTCCTCAGTAGGACGCCTTGTCTAAGGAGCAGAAAACCAAAGGGCAGTTGGAGAGTCCAGGGAGACAGGATGGACCATCAGAAATCTAACCTTCGAAGTTGCTCATGGCCCAGCCACATCCCATGTAACATAAGTGATGCCCACCTTGTTTGCACTTTTAATAACTCTTGTTTGTGTGTTTTGTTTTTAGTTTCATTTTTAAACACCATTATGTAATGCCACAGTGGGGAAAGGAAAGGGAAGAAAGACTGTGTATTCTCTCTCTTATTTTAAGTTTTTGGATCTGCTACTGACAACTTTAGTTTATTGGGGTGGGGGGCATGGTTGGGATTGAGAAGAAAGAGATTTATATACTGTATATAAATATATATGTAAATTGTATAGTTCTTTTGTACAGGCGTTGGCATTGCTGTTTGTTTATTCCCATCCCTCTCCCTGCTGTGGGCAGTATGGGTTCTGGACATGCGGTCCAGCTTTCTAGAACCCAGGACTCTATCCCCAGCCCACCTGTATTCTTCTTAGAGACTGACCCTCATGTCCATGCAGATGTGAGCCCTGCAATTATACTGCAGATTCCATTGGTTCTCTTCTAGGTGCAGGGAGAGTACTGCCTCATGCCATTAGCTGTCAAAGCTGGCAGGTCATTTGATCCTTGACCTTTTCCAAGGGAAGTTGTGCTGGGGAGAAACAGGACTTGCCTCCAGAGGGGAAGGTTGCAGATCACCTGAGTAGCCAGCACAGGCACTGGTTCTCCCACACCCCATGTGTCACTGCTCTCTAGACCTCCAGATGGCCTGGAATCAGTGGTCATACCAGTATCGAGTGACCCATTGGGCATATTATCCTCAAAGGATTTGCAGTAAATCAATTTAAACATTTTCCTCCATGTCTACCATCTACATTGTGTAACGCACCACATCAAGCATGAGAGGGAGGCAAAGATGAAAAAGACACACAGTAGGACCTTTAATTCAGCAGCTGTTTAATATTTACGCAGTGGGAAGAGGACAGAAAGTCTGCATTGGTGTGTACAGTGCCAATAGGACAGCAGAGGAGCTGAGAACACCTCTCACCTCTCTGCAAGTCCACAAATGAGACTTCCCGAGACACAGCTCTGAGAAGACTGGGGTCACATGGGTTCTACCTCTCTCTCTCTCTCTCTCTCTCTCTCTCCTGTATCCCCCACTGCCACCCTCAATGGTCATTACAAGCCTGAGGGAAGAGTTGGGTCAGCCACTTTGATGGTAACTCAACAGTTGCTATTTTTTAAAAAATCCAATACTGAGGTTCTTGCTACTCCCTCAAATTTCCTTAGGATGTCCAAGCTATAGCCATTTCCAGAAGTAAAATTGACCTTGAGTCTCCCTACTTCTGCCTCCACAAGGAGTGTAGAGGTAACAGCCCAGCTATGAGGAAATCCAGGCCTAGTTTTCTGCAGATTTTTTTACGAGGCTCCAGGACGGGCTGCCCAGCCTTCTGGTCAGATGCACATCTTCCTCTGCCCAGGAGAGAGTGTTCCTTCAGACAGCTTTCAGTCAGACAGCAACGAGTGATGTTAGTGCCTCTTCCCATGAGCAGCCGCAGGCAGTGAGGGAAGTCTGGTAGCCCAGGATTGGTACCCTCAAAGAATTGCTCTCAGAATCTGGCCTTATCTTATATTCCATTCCAGTGTTCCCATAAGGGCATCTGCCTTGGCCAACTGTTTATCCCATTTGGGTCTGGAAGGAAGGCTTTGGCACTTGAAGCACTGCCAGCCAAGTGCCCAGTGGGGAGAAGCATGGCCTTCTTGGTATGGGACCTGATTGGACCTCAGGTGAGAGAACCTTCTGGCTGTTTTGGTGAACGTCTTAGAGGCTTCTCAGGGGTAACTTGTGGCCCCATCTGGCATGGTAAGTTGAGAGGGACCCCTCACCTGCTAGTTGCACCAGAAAGTTTGGCACACTGACCTGAGTGGGCCTTGCAGGAGACCCGGCCCCATCTTCTCATTTGGAGGCTCCTCCTTGCAGAAGTTCAGAATCTTCTCCCCAGGCATTTTCTCTCTCACATGTGTGTGTAGTCTGTTTGGTGGTTTTCCTTTGTGAAGGAGGGAGGGAAAACCATTTGTAGCTTGTTTTACAAAAAATAAAAATTAGTAAACCTGGGTGGCTCTTGCCTCTTGCTTTGGTGGCATCCTCTGATCCATGGGCTTCATTTCCTAGAAGGTTTAATCATTTTCTTTGGCCTGGGCACCCTCCACTCTGATCTGAGGAAATCTGAGTTGCTGTTAATTAGGTACCTAGAAGGAAACCAGGTCTGGTAGCGTGGTGCCTAAGGCACTTGACTGCTAACCAGAAGCCAGGTGGTTCGAACCCACCAGTCA